AGGAGCAGAGAGAATTTGTGTCTGCGTTTTGAATCTCCAGTGCTTGTAATGCTAGTGACCTTAAGTTTCTGTATCTCTTCCACTAGGGGGTACCACCCCATAACTTTTGAAACAGGAAGTCTGCTGAATGCAATTCTTAATGAAAATTGAAGTCCAGGCACAATGAATTTTTAAAAACTTTTCTGCACACATGCTGTACTTTTATGAAGCTATTTAATTTGATTCTTTTTAAATAAAAGCTGCCCCATGGGCAAAGTAATAAGCAACAATCTTTAGCAGTATAAACCTATGTAAGGGAACGCCAATTAAAAACCCAGGCTGGGTTACAGTAAGATAAATAGTCATGAATTAAATGAAATATGCAAACACTGAGTACAGCCAGACAAGTGAAGTTATTTTTACTTTAGCAAGAGAAATAGGCATGCTAAATAAAAATTGGCTTTAAAACAAAGGATTTTATAAAAGCAAAAATAAAGGCATCTCAGATGTTCTGGCACTCCTTGCAGAAGTAGAGCAGAACTCTCTTATCTTTGGCATATAAGAGAAGACCTGAGGCACTAAAAACTGGCTCAAGGGTGCAATCTTTTGAGTTCTTTTTGGAGGAAATATAGCAGTGTAGTGGTTGAAACGCAGGCCCCTGTAATAAAGCTGACTTTTGAATCTTTTTTCTTCTGCTTATCACTATGAGAACTGGGCAGTTTCTATCACATTAGCCTAAATCTTAGCTCTGCATCAGTTTCATTGGGTATGATCATTGTACCAACCATGCTGGTTTGTGGTGTGAGTTATGTAAAGTGCTTAAAGAGTGACTGGCTTATGGAAGGTATTCAATAAGTGTTAGCTACTTGTTCAGTGAATCATTGTCATTCAGAAGACCTCTTGAAATGACTAGGAACAGAAATTTTGGCATTAAAAGAGATCTTTACTGTCATTTTGGCAAATACACATACAGATAAGCAATGATAAGACCAGAGAAATTAAGCAATTTGACCAGAGTCACAGTTGTTTTCTAACTTTAGAGTAAAAATTGGACTTTCTTAATGCCAGGCCAACCATTCTTTCCACAATCCTGTACGGTTTTCCAATCACATAGTATTCTGCTAGTATCTGATAATGTATCAGTGTAGACTAAATATAATCCTTGCTTAGCAATTGGTTTTTAAGGCAAAATTTTGGTGAAAGTGGCAAAGTATTTACATTGTTGTGGCAGTTTGAAAGACTCTAGCAGTAGGTATTTGACTTTTAAGACCCTTTCCTATGTTTAGAAATTTATCCTAACTAAATAATATGAAATCAAAATTATATACAAGACATTCACTATCATATTCCTTAGAATCCTGAAAAACTGAAAATAATTCTACATGTCCAGCATTAGGAGAGAAGTAAAATGTGAGTCTAAATATGGATAGTTTCATAAAATATGAAGCTATTAAAAATTATGAAGAGGTCTAGGGATGTAGCTCAGTGGTAGAGTTCCTGCCTAGGATGTACAAGGTCCTTGGCTTGATCCCCAGCCTCTCAGGAAATTATAAGAACACAAAGGAATATGGAAAATATTTATTTCATTCTTCATCTTGTTCCAAAAGAAGGTAATTTGACAAGTAGAGTAGCAATTATATTTTTAATTACAATTAAAAACTAAATATTTATCCAGATAAAAATCCAGAAGCTAAAATGGAAAAGTAAAGTAATTTTAGGAGTATTTAGATTAGAAATGCCCTTTTCCCTCCTCTCAACCTTCCCTACAGCCCATGTGTACCCAACTCTCTCCCATGCATATGATCTTGCCTTTGCTGCAAGAAGAAATTCTTTAAAGAATGAAATTGTGTTGTTTTCTGGAAAACAGATGGAATGAAGTAAGTCCCAAAGACAAATGTCCCATGTTTTCTCTTATTTGTGGAAGCTAGGGGAAAATAAAGCAAAACAAGTCAAAACAAAACCTAAAAACCTAAGGTCATGGAAGTAAAAAGAGGACTCCTGGGAAGCGGAAGGGGAAAAAGGGAGAGGAAGGAATGAAGCTGAATGGTCAAAGTACATTATATACATGAATGGAAATTTCACAATGAAATCCCTTAGTATTTACAACTTAATATACACCATTTTTTTAAAAGAAATTTTCTTTTTTTAAAGATGATATTCATATATAGCCCAGGCTGGCCTTGAACTCCTGGCCTTAAGTGATCCTCCTTCCTCAGTCTCCTAAGTACCTGGACTACAGGGGCATGCCACAATGTCTGGCTAAAAAGACATTCTGGGTCTCACTGTGTAGATGAGGCTGGCCTCAAACTCAAGATCATCGTGCCTCAGCCTCCTAATTGCTGAGATTACAGGTGTATCCCATTATGCTTGACTTATAAAGATATTCTTTTTTTGTGTGTGGCATTGGGGCTTGAACTCAGGGCCTACACTTTGAGCCACTCCACCAGACCTTTTTTTGTGATGGGTTTGTTTTTTTTTTTTTGAGATAGGGTCTCATGAACTATTTGCCAGGGCTGGCTTTGAACAGTGATCCTACTGATTTCTGCTTCCAGAGTAGTTAGGATTACAGGTGTGAGTCACCAATGCCTGGCTCCAGAAAGATATTCTAAAGTGAAAACCGTCCTCCTGAGCAGTTGCATTCTGCATCCATGCTTACTCCCTGACCTCCAGTTCCAGGGCTGAAATAACACTGCACCTGTTCTCTGCATCGAAGACTTCCAGCCTGTTCCTCCCTTTCTACGGACCACGAGCTTGTCACCTCTCTCTTCAACCTCATCTGCACTAGTCCCCTCAGAATGAACATGCCTTTGTCATTTATAAAGAGAACTTTCCTTTTGGATGCAAGCTCTTCTAGATCATCACCGCCAGCCTTTTCTCTTCCCCTTCTCACACATTTCTAAAAAGAGCTGTCCAACCTTAGCTGCCTTTACTTCCCTTCTCTGCCACACCTGACTATACCTGACTCCTCCCACTCCACCACATAGTATGGTCCCACAGAAGTTAAGCCAATGGCTCTTTGTCATTCCGTATCTCATTTAAACCCTTAGCTATGTTTAACCCTGTTGACCATTCTGTCTTGAAGTATTCTCCTCTCTTTATTTTGAAACTTTGTTTCCTTCATTAGTAGAAAGAATGAGTAAATGCATTAGGTCAACCAGGGAGAGGAGAAAAGGAGGAAAGGCTCCGAGCTTGATAGCAGGGCTTGCATTTTTAGGGGTGTGTTACCATGCAGTTGTAGACTTAAGATGTCCTAGATAAAACTGTGAGAACTGAATTCCTTCTTGAAGACTGTACCAAGCAGACTGGTGATTCAATGATACAGATAGGGTGGGTGGAACTCAACCAGAAGGATTAAGTGTTTATTCTTTTATCTTGGGGGTGGGTGTGAAAGGTGTAATGGAACATAGCCCACTGTGGGAACTTGTTGACAATGTTGGAATTTCCTCTCTTGGGGTATAAGAAGTGAAATAAGTGGAATTCCAGTCACTTGGGTCTCCCTCAGTAGTGTCTAGCATCGAAAGCTTTCAACCTGTATTCATTTAACAAAACAGAATCAATTTGGTACTGGATTATATGCTGACTATTGGCGATTATGATTGCTGCTTACTCCTAGTGAAATGTCCCCGGATCAGACTACAAATACCTTAAGGTCAAGGATCCTTTTCAATCTAATCCTCTCCTAATGTCTTCCACATTGCTCAGCATAGGGTTGAATGCTTGGAAGATGCTTAACTTTGTTTTTTTTAAATCTGTTGTTTAATTTAGCACATTTTAACTTTTCAAGTTTCAACAGACTTTGAATGACTCCTAAATGCAATATATATTATGCAGTGTAATAGAGCAAACATTTAAGTTATTTGTGTTTTATGAACTGGAGGAGATGTAAACACATTTCAATACCTAGGGAGGATCTAACACAATGTGAAATGGGCTCGTGTTCTCTTGAGCGTGTTGTACCAACCAAGATACAAAAACCAGGATCCCAGGTAACCCTCAGAGCTAATTTGAGTTCTTGTAAATTCTATAAATCCTTGTCGTTCACTTCCTTAGGCCAAACACTCCAAACACCCTTGACTGTGGATAGCTGCTAGGTCCCTCTGGGACCTTGGATCAGGCCTTTCTTCAGTCAGGTAAGTAATCTGAAAAAAAAAAAGAAAGAAAGAAAAGAAAAGTAAAGCAACCCATGTAGCCCAGCGAAGCTATTTAAAGGCTGTGAACTCCAGTCTTTGATTCTCTTTCTTTAAGGTCATTCTATTTTTAGAGAACTTTCTACCTTTCTTGGTTATACAGCCAGACTGGAGCACCTGGCCAGGAAATCGTTTTCCTTTAAAAAAAAAAAAGGAAAAGGAAAGAAAGAAAATGCTAGAATTTGAACGTTGAACACAGGCGTTGAATTTGAAACAGATTTACCATAGCCTAATTCCCAGGGCACTACAATTAGTGGCTGAAAGCTGAGTGGAAGGGGTCCATAAATTAACCTACAAAGACAAAAGAATCTAGACTCACGCCTCCCCCTTTATAAAGAGGATTAACAGCCCGAGATCCCCAAAGCCTCCAGCACCACGGTGCAAGCTCTCAGTGAAACTTTTTGCTGGAGGCTGAAGCGCCTATGACTTTGGGGGAAAGGGTCTTAGGCGCTCTTGCTAACCTGGAAGGCGGAAGAGAAGGAGGTACCTGGCCTAGGTAGGAGCCACTCAGGGGCCGCCTGAGGCCGCCACTCACCCCAGAGAGGGAGGAGCTGGCGCGGGGACCTAGCGCCACCGAGGGCAAACGCGAACCTGAGCAGCCAGGTGAGGTGAAGAACACCCTCCCCGCTCACCTCGGAGGGGGCGGAGGCGACTCGGATCACCTGGGCAGAGAGGAACGGAAGGGTCTGGGGACAGCAGTCCGGAAAGCCTGGAACTCAGACTCACCTGCGCGGGAGGCGGGGCCAGAGCAGAAGCTCACCTGAGCAGGCGGAAAACCCGAGCCCTCGGGCTCGCCCGGCGCAGAGAGAGGAGGCGCCCCGCTGCTGGCCCCACCTGAGCGGCCCTCGATCGGTCGCTGCGGCCGTCCCGCGTGGCCGCCATGACCTGGAGCGCCTCGGCGCGGGGCGCGAACCAGCCGGACAACACAGCGTTCACGCAGCAGCGCCTCCCCGCCTGGCAGCCGCTGCTGTCGGCCAGCATCACGCTGCCACTCTTCTTCTGCGCGGGCCTGGCCTTCATCGGCCTGGGCCTGGGCCTCTACTACTCCTCCAACGGCATCAAGGAGCTCCAGTACGACTACACCGGCGACCCGAGCACCGGCAACTGCTCGGTGTGCGCCGCCGAAGGCCGAGACCGCGCGCCGCCGCCCAACTGCTCGTGCGCCTGGTACTTCTCGCTGGCCGAGCTCTTCCCGGGCCCCGTGTACCTGTACTACGAGCTGTCCAACTTCTACCAGAACAATCGGCGCTACGGCGTGTCCCGCGACGACTCGCAGCTCAGTGGGCTGCCGAGCGCACTGCGCAACCCGGTCAATGAGTGCGCGCCATACCAGTTCAGTGCCACCGGCCTGCCCATCGCGCCCTGCGGCGCCATCGCCAACAGCCTCTTCAACGACTCCTTCTCGCTGTGGCACCAGCGCCAGCCCGGCGGGCCCTACGACGAGGTGCCACTGGACCGCACCGCCATCGCCTGGTGGACCGACTACCACGTCAAGTTCCGCAACCCGCCGCTGGTGAATGGCAGCCTGGCGCTGGCCTTCCTCGGCACGGCGCCTCCGCCCAACTGGCACCGGCCGGTCTACGACCTCAGCCCCGACCCCAACAACACCGGCTTCATCAACCAGGAGTTCGTGGTGTGGATGCGCACGGCCGCGCTGCCCACGTTCCGCAAGCTGTACGCGCGCATCCGCCAGGGCAACTACACTGCCGGCCTGCCCCGGGGCACCTACCGTGTCAACATCACTTACAACTACCCGGTGCTCTCCTTCGGCGGCCAAAAGCTCCTCATCTTCAGCAACATCTCGTGGATGGGCGGCAAGAACCCTTTTCTGGGTATCGCCTATTTGGTGGTCGGCTCCCTCTGCATCCTCATGGGCTTTGTCATGCTGGTCGTCTACATTCGCTACCAGGACCAGAACAACGAGGACGACGACGACGAGTGATGCCTGCTTTCAAAGGATCCTTCCTGATTTTTGCCAAAAGTCTTGTGTGCAGCTTTTAGCGTCTCCCCCTTTGCCTGCAGCCGATTTCATGCTCACTTCATCTTGCTTCCTGCTATGGACGAAGGGCCCAGAGAAAGGAATTATCCCCTTCCTCTTGGAGGCTCTCTAACTGTCCTGCGGAGGGTGGGTGGGGGGGTCTTCTTATGACTTACTTAGTTGATATGTCAGGTCTTTAAGTCTGTTGCATTCCGGATGAAAAGGAGGGTAGAGATGCCTAGTCAGCGCCTATCAATTGAAGACCAATGATCAGCAGCTAGCAATTGGCTCTTGATTTTGATTCAGAGCTCTTGATACAGCAGTACAGCAGGGTTTTTTTTTTTTTTTGGCGGTGGGGGGGACGGTTGAGATAGACAGTGAGACCCAGAGATAATCTGCAGAGGCATGGAGGGGTGGGGAGAACATATTTGTTACAAACGGAAGTAGATGGATCAGGAAGTATCAACCCCACAGGGTCTGGCACTGTAAGGCTTGGATGAACCTCTCAGTACTGTGTTTTAACAAGCTTCTCTGGAGATTATTCCCTCGAGTTTGGGGATCACTGTCCTGAGCCTGCAAGCAGTCACCTGAGTTCTGTTTTTCGGGTAGTAGTTTGTTCCCAGGGACAATCGCAATGTTCAGGTTTGAGCTAGCACTCTTAAACATAGGCAGAAGCTCTCAATTTATGGAATGAATTAAAAAAAAAAAGCAATGCTGATTCTAGAAAATTAGTTAGCAAACAAATTTGCAGGGCCGGATTTGTGTCAACTCGTTTTATGTTTGAGTTTGCAGATACTATGCAAAAACTTTAAAATGCTAGGCCTGCTTTCACGTCTCAGAGGGCATGCTTTCACCTTAGAATCAAAAAGCTGCAGGTGATCTTAGAGGGAAAGCAGTTTCCCTAACTGTGTTTCCTAACTCCTGGCTCAATCCTCTTTAGTGCCTGAAAAAAAAATTTTTTAAAAAATGCTTAAAGGAAAGGGCTTCATTCCTGTCTTTTCTCTTAGATCTCAAAAAAAAGAAAAAAAAAAGGCTTTAATTTATGTTCTTAAGTGCAATGTGTTTATTCCTAGGAATCACACTTGAATGAGTGCTGAGGGACATAATTTCACATATTAACTAGAATTTTAGGATTATTTGGGCCTTCGAGATAATGTTAAAAGTCATTCAGTTAATTTTATTGATTAACTAGAATCAACCAATATAAAGTTATTCTAAGAAGCAATAGGATATTTTTAAAACCTTTCTTCTATGGAAAAATAAAAGAACTTATAAAACCCTTAGTGATACCATCTTCCAGTTTATTTACTGAAAGCAGTTATTTAGTGTTTGTCAGAATTCTCCAGTCCCTGCTATTACAGCTATTTTTTTGTTACTACCTTTTATTCTCATTCCTTTAAGGCAGTATGAGTCTTGTGGTATATTTTATTTTTTTTAGTAGTAAGATATTGAATTGTATTGAATAGTGTAGATTGATTTTTACTATTCTAGCTCCTTGATCATTCCCGATGAGTGTGAAGCATGCAGGTCATTGGTGTCCATCTTGGATCTTCTGGTACAATAAGAATTTAAGAGAGTCGTGCATTTTTACATATACTAACAAATATTTTAGTAGCTCCAATGTGTTGGTTTCCCAGCTCCTGAATGTGACACAATTTTATTATCAGATTCAGTGTTGTGATTTTACATTATAAAAACATGATCATTACATGCACTTTGAGTAATTTTTATTTATGATGAGTGTTTGAGCAGCTCACTAGCTCAGCTCTCCTCTGTGTTGGATAAAAAAATTTACTACATTTTTTTTTTTTTACCGTATAGTTGAGAGCAATCACATATTTTGCTATCATTTTTAGAATATCAGCCTATCACTAAGACTATGAATCTTAAGGTATTATGATTAAATGAATAAATTTCATTCTGGACCCTTTTTCTGGGCTTTTGAAAGAGAATAAAGGTTATGTTTGTCTTACCTTTGTTATCATGTTTGCTTAATTCTTTTGAACTATGATCTTAAAGGCGCAAACAGTACCAACCATTTTTCTCTCGTTAACAGCAGCCAGAAAATCATCTTTCAGAATAAGGCTCAAAGTGAACTCAGCCTTTCATTGTTAACTTTCTAAAACAGAACTGAACTTACATCAACATTGCAAATATGAATTAGTGATCCTCAATTATTGTTTGAATTTGATAAATGTGGTTGGTATTTAAATTTTTCTAGTAAAAGTTATTGAAGAATGTGATTGTAGTTTTGTCTCTCTCTATTATACTCTGATTGTAAATTACAAAGCAGTAGAAATTTTAAAGTGGAAACATGAAACATTTTCCTACAATGATCCCTGAGCTCTGTAGCATTTTGCCTGGTATCTCAGGATTCTAAGTTGGGATAGGAATCCCACCAACAGGTGTGTTTTGTAGGAGTGAGATAGAAAAAAGAGCACGTCAACAATTGAACTGGAAATGAGCTTTGACCTGCCTTGTGAAATAAAGACACAGCAATAAAGTGGTCAGTGAATACTTCCAGCACAGAGTTACAGAAAAAGCAAGATGTTCCAGGTGTCTCCCAGCAAATCACCTAAACAATTTGCTGACTATACAGTGTTAGAAACCAGAGACAGAGTAATAGTTTGCAATTTCTGTTAGAGCAAATACTGCTTCATAATATATAACCACAACTCTCTCTACCTCGATTTCGATCTGTTGACCTCTTTTGTCATTTGGAGATCTCAACATCTTGAATAATGTTTCAGGAGTTGCTGGTAGAGCCACAATGTCATCAACCAGTGCCTTCTAGGTCCTTAGATGCAAGTCATCAGTTACTCTAAGAAAAGATAATTCTTTACTTTCATTGAACATTTGTTTGCATCCGATTATTTCTGTACATAAAATAGACATGGCAATTTTTAAAATTTGTTTTGCTTTCTAGAAAAATTTCTCTCAATTACTCTCCAACAAAGACAAAGTCTTTTTAAAACAGTCATTTAAAAGGCCTTGACAAATCTGACTGAAGCATGTTAAGGTCCCAGAAAGCTCTTGCAAGAGAGCAGTACTGTAAAGAATTTGCAATTTTTTCTAACAGTATTCTAATTTTTGATGCTATGTTTTACAGACATCCTCCGTCATCCCTCATGTGAATAGCAGTGTGTATTTAGGAAAAAAAAATGCATTTCCACTGTTAGGATGGCCACCATTAGTGGTCCTCATGCAATGAGGTCACCAGAGTGTGCCAGCACTCCTTTATTTAACAGAACTGGCTGTCCAAGCTCACAAAAGACAAAATCTCTAGGGTGATGAGACCCAACATAGACTGTTTAGGGGTTATAGACAGGAGAAGAAAAAGAAGAGAAGGGAAAGATGTAGGAGGCACTTTTCTAGGCTGGCAGGGTACCCAGAGGCATAGGATCTACCACACAGGAAGCCCATGCCAAGAGGGCAGGGTTAACAGAAGGATTCTGATGACAAGGTCTTTGAGAAATTCAGTAAGTAGATGGTGGCTCACCTCCTTCTCAACCCCTCAGCTTGTCTTTTTTATCAATTTGAGTATGATTTATCTTTTTTCCTTAGAAGCAATAAGTATTACTGTCAAGAACCTTAGCTAATAGCCTTGCTCTCCATATTGAGCTCCCAACTAAGTTCCCATAAAGTGGATGAAACCTTACATTGCTGATGAAAACTGTAAATGCTATGTCATTAATAATGATACTTTGTTCTTCTAAAAGGACTTTGTTCTGAAAGTCCAAGGTGCTGAACACTATGTGGTTCCATTAATCGTATCCATCAAAGTGCATGAGCATTAGAAAGTTATCAAGACCAGTGAGAGCACAATAGATACAGTGTGTGGGTACGGGGGAGTACTAGTGGGAGGGGGGAAGGTGAAGGAAGAGAGTAAGGTGATGGTATATGGTAGATGGACTTCATATACCTATATGAAACAGAACTAAGAAACCACTTGCAGTTACTTTAAGCAGGATGGGAAGGGGGTTGAGGGGGAGAGACGATGGGGACAATGTAAATAATGTACAATATAAGACTAATAGGAATTGTCACTATGAATCCCCCCATATAATGTATATATCCTAATAAAAATTTATTTAAAAAAAAGACCAGTGAGGTAGAAATATATTCTTTCTAGTTTGCTCAGTTTTGTTCAGAATTCTATGAAAGCAAGTAGGGTTCTTTTTTAAAAAATACTTAACTCTGGATGACACAGTGATGTTGAAATGGACCATTTTAAAAAGTAAAAGGCACTTCCCATTTTTGTTAAAGCATTTCAAATGGGAGATGTCACACTTCCTATTCATACTAAGTGGTGGATGTAAAATATTTCCTACTTTTTTCCTTTTCATTTTCTTACAAGTCTTTAAAGATTTAGACTTCTCTGTTGTTTTGACATAATTTATAAATAACTGAACTGTGGAGTTTTTCAAGTGTTTTTTTTTAGAGGAGCACATTAGCTCACATATTCACTTGCATAAATCTTTAAAGACATGTATTGAACATCACCTATATAAGTGGCAGTCCTCCTGTCTCCAACCCTATCTTTTGTCTAAATACACATTTCCAACTACATTTTGGATACACCTGTATGCCCTACAGGTACCATTTGCTCTGGGCAGTCAGTACTAAACTCACTGTCCTCTCTTCCAAACTTGTCCTGCCAACTATAGTCCCAGATGCTTATAATGACTCCACCCCTCAACCACCCAAGCCAAAAACCTGAACTGCCTACTTGACTCCTTCTCTGTTTCCTTCTAAGTCCTACTGTTGTCAGATCCTGTGGCTTCAGTATTCCAAACACACTTTCGGTCAAGTCTTTCTTGATCATGTCTTTGCTTGTGCTGGTCCACCTGACCCCTCAAATCTATTCATTCTTTCTTTCTTAAGACACTCAGTTCTGTTTTCATCCTCTGTGAGGACCTCGCAAGCCCTCTTTGCCTCTTCCACTTCCTGTTCTCAGCCTGCTCTGTCCTTGACATGTATTCCATTCCTCTCTGACAGCATTTACCATGCTGTCTAGAATTTATCCCCTTATCCATCTCCATAATCAACTGTTAGTTCTATGAGAGCTGAGATATTTTCTCTCCGACTTATTATTGCCATTCCCAAATTCCATGACCAGTATGTGATAGAACATCAAACATT